TTATTACTGCAAATGAAATTACACGCATAACCAGAGATGATATCCTTGTATTTCCATTAATATTCTTCACATCAGAAATGTTTCCAATACATTTTGTTTCAATAAGGATCTTGTGTTATGTAATGTACTAATTTCTTGTGGGAGGTTTGAACTCAAAGTACGAAATCCTTGCCACACTAAGATTTCTCTGCTTTATCATGTGTTTTGTTACAGATCTAAGTTTAGGCGGAGAATGATAGCGAACATTTACAGACATTAATTTGTATGTGTTATTTGTACCAAGTGTAGTTCATAAAATGGACGAATGGCACTAAAGTATATCTTTTTTCGACCGCTAATGCTTTTATTCACTAAAGTATATCTTTTTTCGACCGCTGATGCTTTTTATATTTTTTTGTCAGAAAGTATCTAACCGGTTTTTATAAATTATTTTATATTGGGAATTACACTACATAATTTCGAAAGAATTTATTTTCAGATCTGACGCTTGTACGGACATTCATTTTCAGTGTTGATTTTTCTACGTTGAGACAGTAAGACACCGTTCTGGACAAATATTTCCCCTTCTTCTTCTTATTCTTCTAGGTGACAGTGACCTTGAACTTAGTTCTTGTTTACGAAGGCTATCAGATTCCACTGAAGGAGCAGTGTTTCTTGATCAACCAGCGAGTATCACCTTTTGCACTGTGTGACAGCCATCTCCGCCTCTCTGTCATTCTCAAAACGCTGACGCTGACGCTGACCGGACAGGAATTTCTTGAGGTGTAGGAAAAGATGGAAATCACTGGGAGCGAGGTCCGGGCTGTAGGGTGGATGATTAAACACCTCCCAGCTGAACTTCTGCAGGAGACTTGCTGTCCGTCGAGTCGTGTGCGGCCTAGCGTTATCACTGACCGCACTTCACAGTCGGCGGGAGCTGGAATAAGAACCTCCATCTTCAACAGCTGCAACGATGCTACTGTGAGAACGCGGGAAGTGCCGTTAGTGCATGCGCCATGCTACGTCATTGCTCTATCACGTACGCACAGTCGCTTCGCGCAATATAAGGTTTGCTAGCTGTGGGACGAGTGGGAAACTTACTTTGTGGACGCGCCTCGTATATTGTTATTAATCCACGTCCGGGTTTTCCAAGTTGTTTTACAATCGAAGAGTTCTGGCCACTTCCTTCCAATAGAAACGCCTTTTTTTACTCACGGTTTAATCATCTTAAAACAATTATTATGTGAAGTGTGATGACTTCAAACTCTGCTACCTGATTTTTATACCTTTCTAAACACGTCTTCAGAGGGGAGGTTTACCGATAGTTAGACATTTGAGCTGAACTACATAATTCTATTCGTATAGTACTGTCGGCTATTGTCCGTCAATTCTATGTCTTTTCTATCAACCGACTCTAAAACCAATATTTTTATCATCCCTGGTCGTCCGTCAAGGAACCTCTGAATGAACGACCTATCGATTACTACGCTGTCAGCTGCAAACGATAATCGAACAAAGTAAACAAAAAGAGAGGTTAAGCAGCTTCCTACTTCCCTCTTTCAAGTTGCTTCTGGAACTCCTTTTAACATTTGTCTTTCCAATGCATACCAGATGAGGGTCAGATAGAAGAACTTGATAAAGAAATAGGAGGAGAAACTTTTGTGAGAAAGTCGATGAATATTCTTTGTCTTGCTCCAACAAACCTTTGTGACAAAGTAGTCGCTCAAACTTCGTCATTGACCGAAATTTAAACACACAGCATCGGTCCGCTTACGTTGTGGATCTTCTTATAAAATGTTTTCTCTTCTTAAAAGGATTAGATCAAGTATTTTTCACATTTTTACGCTGTTTACTGTGTCCAAGAGAAATGGGAAAGAACTGCTCTATATTTGTCTCGAAGAGTCGTAATTCAAGTGTAACAGGTCAATATTTTATTGCCAATTTACAATTGGTGTTTATTTTCCAGACATGTTGCCATCGGCCCATATTACAAATAGCGTTAGATTTAAAACCCTATTTTGATCAAGTTTCTATACAATCGTGCAGATAACTGACTGTTGTTTTAAAATTTTACAAAAGATTATACTACCATCACGTCCTTTGCGTATGTACAGTTAAAAGATTTTTATACATCTTTTATAAACTTCATGTCACTAAGGCCAATCCATCTTTGGTTTCTTCATATCCTGTCGTCAGAATTTCAACATGTCTGTAGACCGAGCTCCTGTCATCTTCTGTTTTATTAAGTTGGATCTTCTATGGCTTTTACGAGGAACTACCTTATCCTACTCAGATCTTCTCAACAATAAAAGGGTTACCAGTTGCACTGGGTCCAATAGATGGAAGAATATACAACCGGCTTAGCATGAGGGAAGATTTCGGCGTTTTCAAAATCTATTATTTGACTTTCTATACTTCACTGTTATTTATGTCCATGTACATGAAGATAATAAATCTGTAGATGGCAAAATATTCAAACAACATCTAATACAGTGCACACTCTTTTAGGATAATTTTCTAATTATTTCATTAAATATACTAACTTTACCCTAAACGAAGAATGTTCCAGTTAATGGGAAGTGAACATATTGTGACTTAGATACAATTCTCTGTGCGAAACGCTTTTGATAAAACGGAGGACATAATTGGGAGTACAATAGAAATAAAGGAAAAGTACACGAAATCCCCCCACAACTTTTAATTTGGGCCCCCAAATTTAAATATTGAAATATGATTAACAGGCTACTTTCAGAGATGACAATTTCGAACGTATACACGATTATCGAAGGTTTCCTAAGATGCTATCAGGTTTTGTTGAATTAGTTCGAAACTTATAATTAACAAATTGCATAGTGTGTCTGTAAAGTTTCTTTTCCAGCTGTATGACTAAGTATTTCGTGTATGCAAGAAGTTACGATTCGGTGTGTTGGCGCGTATATTACAAAGCTAAATAATTTGGTCTGTCAACTTTTACATGTCAGTTTGTCTTTTTAATTAAAATTTATAAGCTTATTTAGATTTTCATTAAAACTCGACATTAACGTACAGTGCATACAGAAACCTAAGTCTGCTCGCATCTCGAGAGTAACTTACTAAACATTTAATAGAGCATAACACGTTTCAAAAATATTTCTAAAGAGGATAACTCGAAGACCGTTGTTCTGATTTTGATAAAATTTAATACTGGCGGTTTTAGAATGTCCGCCCAGTCTATTTTAAGGTGCTACCAAGCATCAGTCCTCACAAACTAAAATTCTATAGATAGTAACAGAGGGAAAGGGCTGGAATAGTTAGGCTCTTGTATGATTCCTAACTTGTTTATACTTTTTCCGTCACATCAAAGTAGTGTGAAGCTTATCTTTTCCATTTCAATTCATCTTCAACGGATTTCCATTGGTGTCGTATTAGCCTTGGGGTACATACATGAATACTTTATAGAATTGTCGCGTGGGGGCGCGACTCTATGTATATTTAGTGGCTGGCGAAGCTACGGAATTAGTGTTGCTTCGGGAGATGAAGGAAATGTTGTTCGCTCGAAATTTCAGAATATTTGCGGTGAGACTGAGCTTCACCGAATTATCTGGTTCCTTCATCCGGTTCCGTGACCCAAACTCATCGTGTTCGCCACCCCCACCACCACCACCCCAGAAAGAAAACAACGTTAGCTCAGCTTCAAGAATAAAAGTTCTGTAAATCAGAATACAGAAGCGCTAATTAACTCCACAGAACAGTGTCCTTCTCGAGAATCTAACAGTAACTCAGATAGTATAAAAATTCCCCGCCCAAATGGAAACTGAAAATTTATTACCACATTCGCAAGGGTCTGTCACTGATGCCGACCTGTGCCAGATTAATCCAGTTTATATGCTGCCACTCCATTTTTTGACTTCAATTTTAAATCTCATCCTCTCTGCTCAGATTTTTAATGCCATCCCTTCCCTTAAGACTTTCCAATGAAAATTGTGTATCAATTTCTCATTACTACCACGCGTGATACATGTCTCGGCCATCTTAATTGTAATGAGAAATACAAATTATTAAGCTCCTTATTATGCAGTTTTCTCCTGTCACAATCACCCATCATATTCGAAATATTTTTCTCAGTATCCTGTTCTCAAAAATCCCTAAAGAACGAGACAAAGTTTCTCTCGTCGGAAAATGGCTGTCTTCTGGATTGTTTCGCTATGTAGTCTGGTATAAGTTTACTGGCATTTAAGAGCACATGCTGCCCCTTTATCGCTGTGACAATGGAGGCAGCACGTACCTCTAAAACGTCGGTTAACTTCTACTAGGCAAGACGGCGCTACAGCCCAGAAGATATCTTCACTATTAGGTAGTAACAGATGACACGACGTGGCAGGAACATTTATTTTCCTTGACATCAATTATTTTTTCCTTCGGATTTCTCGACTTCAATTTTCTGTGTATTTTTCATCACGCCATGCGTACAATATGTATCTCCCATCTCATCGTCCTTGATTTGATGATCTTAATAATATTTTGTGACGAGTACATATTATGAGGTCCCTCCTTTTTGAATATTCTCCATCTTCCTATCACTTCCTCTTTATCAGAAATAAATATTTTCTTCAGTACGTCAAGGTGAGAGGCGAAGTTTTACGCATGTAATTAATAAAAGGAATATCATAATTTCATGGTTTAATATTTACGTTCAGAGGTACAAGGAACTGTAAAAGGATTTGATCTACGCGGCAGCAAACATTTGTCGAATTCATTCTACTTTTAATACCTCTGTGAATATAATTTTAATTTTATTTTCGTCCGAATATACAGCACGGAATTTGATAAGCATTCCTGTCACAACACAAATATTGTTAATATACAATTAAATGAAATATTATAAGCGCAAATAATCTATGTAATGACCCTTCAAATGTTCCGATTTATAGCTTTCACAGACGCAAGACATTTGTAAGCACTGTGTAGAGTTATGATAAAAATTGTTTTCAAGTGTTATTTATGGTTCTTATTAAGCAGCAAAAGAATTTATAAAAACTTACCCAGATAACACCAAAATTGAACAATCAGTCAGTGTTGTAGAATCGCAGTTATTAAAGATGAACACACCTGAAAGAGATAATGAACAAATAATTTTATATTTTTATTGTTATTTTAAAATTGAAACACATAACAGAGCTGGTAGTTAGTAGACATATTTTCCAAAATTATTCTTTTGGAATCTTCATTATGCTCTGAGCTAATGATCTACATTTATAGAACGTACGAATCATTCTCCAAGTTTTCTCTTAAAACAGAAATGTCCATTACACCTATGTCGAGGCTTCCCTATATACCTCAGATGACACAAGATCCACGTATTTCCTCCCTCATCTCAAGGGAATGTCTTAAGATTGCACATTCTCTGCTGCTAAAGAACAACTGTTTCGTAAGGCTGTCAGTAATGTTCTCAAAAAATCCAAGTCATTCGTATAGACGAGAACAGTATATGTATAAAAATTTGGAAAAAAAACCCACAACTAACATTTATCTGTAGCAACCTGCGAGTTCGGAAGACGAGAGAAAATTGAAGGCAAGTCAGTTATTGGTTAAAAATTGTAACAATACAAAATCCAAGGTTGTAAGGAGTAAAAAAGTAAGATCATATCAAAGAGGACGTAATGGAAAGTACAGTTATAATGCCTCGAGATGGAAAGGATATATATGGCTGTGACTGTGGAGAAAAGGGGGGGGGGGGAGAGATTACTTCAGAAAGTAACCAAAATTAAAATCTTTCGAGGAACAGCATTTTCTAAGCTCATGAGCGCGGAACGTTTGTATCTAAGTTTTCTGATCGCAGTTACGGCATACTCTCTTGCATGAAGGACATGCTTTGTTACACGTAATTATAATAAGCTGCAATAATTTGTTTCTATGCTGTTATCCTCACTTGTAAGAAACTCAGTTCTACCCATCGACATGAGAACATTAGAAAGAGTTGACGTTCTTAAGGCAGAATGAAGATGGCTGTCTTCTGGGTTATTGGGGAGTGATGGCAATCTCCCTGATGGAGCAGCAAAACACTCTGAGACGTCGATGAATTTCTACCAGATTACAAGACCACAAAGCTGAGAAGACAGTCATCTTCATTGGAAAAAACAGGTTGAGATTAAAGGGATATTGAGTATACTTGGACAAAACTGGGTTAAAGAACTGATAAAACTGAGACAAATCTATAAAGCGGAGCTTCTCAACATGTAGCACGATATTTGCCCGGCGACGATAGGCAAAAAGAGCGAGAGATAAAGATCGAAAACGTGCGCCAACTTCCGCCATTATTCTTCAGAATAGTGTGGTGGTTCGTGTGACGAGCCACCAGACTATTGCTCATATTCTTTGCAAATAGGATAATATTTTCGGAACGCGCAGTATGATCAATGATCTCCCACGTTTAAATGAAGACGTAATTCATCCGCACAGATTCTGTGCTCCTGGTCTACCCTTCACGCCAGAGAAATTAAATCAAGGATGAAATGAACGGGATGTGCACGTCTCATAAAAGAAAAGTGTTACAATTTCAGTCTGAAAAGCTGAAGGAGAAAGACCATTTTAAAAAACTAGACGCCAATGTTTGACAACATTGAAATGAGAATTGCAGAAATAATGTGCCTGATTGTCTCTGGATATTGTTCGGTACAGAATTTTCAGAATACCGCAATAAATATAGAGAGGAGAATTTCTTTCTTCAGCCTAATCATGAAGTCAGGACTCCTCATACGTTTAATCCTAAAACAAACTTTGATTATATTTACTAAAACCTGGCATAAAATTCTCGTTTAATTAACTCTGTACGCAAGGCAGATCCTTGTTGAGAAGTCAGCGGTAGCAGCTCGGCTGATATTTCAGTTTCTCTCGGCTCTGAAGTGTTTGATCGTCGCCCTTTGGGCTATGGGGCTCACCGACGTCCCTCCGAAACATTGCGAAACACACAAAAAAAAAACTAAACGGCGTCACAAGCCGAAGACAAAAATTGATAACTCTCAGCCTTTTATTTATCCCTTGGGTTCATTACCGTGTTCGCAAAAGTCCGCCATACGTCCCTATCCTAAGCAAGATAAATCATTTTCTTTCAGAAGTCTTTTTTCAACTATTTGCTCGTGCAGAGAGATATAAACTGAAACTTATGTCTCTTAAAACAACGTAACTACGAACTGACCGATATAACATCCATTAATGTACCGTTCTGTCATACTGTCTGACATAACTAACAATCTGGTGGTACAAGCCCAAGGGTCGTCTCTGGTAATACATCTTATCTGTCAGGGTCCTGAGACAGTTCCGTCCTCACAACGTATCTTTCTAAGATCAATCTTAATGGTATGCCACTAAACCATTCAGGGACTTTTAAATGCGTGTTCTAAGATTTTCAGCAAAAGTCAGACACGAACTATATTAGATATTATAAGACTGGCTTTAGGTATATAGTTATTATTTTTACGCATTTGTTATTGCTTACATTAATATTTCGATGTTAGCCTCTGATAGTCCCGGCACGTTTAGGAAATTTGGCTGTATGCTAAATAGCAAACCACTGGGGCGAACCAGGAATGGTTGTACTAGCTGTTTTATTGTTACGCTGTTATAATCTGCTTCTACGTACATCATGCTTGGTTGTACGATTTCGCCGTTAGTTCAGTACGAATAAAACTGAAATTAATTTCTAACGGTGGCGTCTCTAGCAGAAAGAAATACTAAAGAGGTTATGGTGGCGCCTAAGGTGGGGTCTGGCGCGTTCTGCGTTTGGTGATAGTCCCTTGTCATGCGGTTGGTTTTGTATTCGTTCATTTTGAAGGAATCTGACTTCAATCGCAGTGAAGATATCTTCACTTTTCTTTCACTTTATAAAACAATTATAAATCTTGTACTTTCAATGCGTTTTTCAAAGATAATGCCTAAATAAATATTATTGCTGTTTAACAGAAAATTTTTAATTCCTGTCACCTTTGACGGTTTGTCTTAAACAATTACAAATCTCTGTAAAGGCGTATTGAATACACTTCCTACAGTGGGCAATGTCCGTTATAATACTCGGGCAGCGAATCAATTCAATTATTTGCACGGAGATTTAAACGAGGGCGATCTTTAGACACGGTGTGTAGTGGCGTTGGCATCGACTAAACCCCCACTTAGTTACAGCTGCCACATTCTAGATTCTGTTTAAAACTTAATGGGTTATTCTGATCCTGGAAACGGAGAGAGAGAGTGGGAGAGCAAACGACAGAGAAGACTTGCTTTTACGTCAAGCGACACCGCGAATGAGTTCCAGGCGCCAAGCATCAATAATGCAATTATTATTAGCATTCTCGCTGTAATGTGATACGTCTTGCTAACTTCATTGATTTCCGCAAAAGCAATCAGCGGTGTCTCTACATCTGCATCTCTCACGTAATTACATCAGAGACGGGTTGCTGCTGGCAACACAAGTTGCAAGATCGTGTTACATAAGGAGTTTCTTTGGATCCCGTCGTCAGCTTCTGATGATTCTTCACATTCGCCTTGCCTTGTTTACAGGGATCTGACGGATACATTTTATTTTCTTGTTACACCTCAGCTGCAAATACGTGATTGGTCTCATTACGTCGGTCCGCATTGGCTATTCAAATGTTTGTCGTGTGCAGCATAAACAAATAAAACTGTAGTAGACAGTAGGTAAAACTGAATTCCTTTAACTCTGAATATGGCTGGTATTCACTTGAAAACAGAAAATATCTTTATTTCACCACAATATTGATTTTATTGTAAAGACGGCTTTTGTCAAATTTCGACTAATTTTGATTTCAAATTATTGTTACTTTCATAAAACTTCAATTACTAGTACTGCACACTGTTTTAAACTATCATGGATCTGAACAACAGAACAATGAACTTTTACTCATTGAAACAAGTTTTCGTTATAGACCAAAAAATACAATAATTTAATTTCTTTAAAATATTTTTACTACTGTTTGCAGTTTGCTTTAGATGATATATATATACACACACACACACATCAATGTTGTCTACAGTAGCAAAAATATTTGTCCTCGCACTGGCTGATTTCTAAATTATGTAACAGGCCGTGTGAAAAGTTTGCGAGTACCACATGAGGCCCACGGGCCACATGTTGCAAACCACTGGTTAAAATAATGAAACACATTAGAAACTTTCGATCCATAATAAAGTTTTAAGTGATGCAGAAGTGACTTACAAACTGTGTTGTTATACGAATGTAAAAAATCGAAGAAAGTCTGAAATTATAAACACATCGCGGCGTAGAGAAAAAAATAATAAACAAAGGTGAAGGATATAAGAAAGTACGGATATACATACTTGGACTCGAGGCTGAATATTCACGGAAAGCTCCATAAATGTGTGAGAATAGGTAGCGTGTAGCCCTAATTATAAACTTTTAGGACAAAGGGTGAGAGGGAGATCAAAGAGAATCCGGAGGCGGGTAAGAAAGGCAATGGTAAAGCTCTCCCTGGTGCTTACACGCATAAAATGGTCTGCTGCCTGACAGCGAAAAGAAGAAAATTATGTAAAACTTATACTTTGAAAAAGAAATAAAAAACTGACAAATGCAAAAAAAACTTAAGGGCTAGTCAAGATGAAGAGTTTTTGCCTGTACGGAGATACGGAAAGACCTTGAAGACAAAATGGATGGAAACAAGTGACGAAGTACTCCACTTGCGCTGTTAATAATTCCATAAAAATGTATATCTTATACGCCGGATATCAGAGACGACATTGTTCTTAGGTCAAGAACTATGCAACTGCTGAAGCAGTGTAAATAATCGGATGGTACCCGATTCAGATCTCAGCTTCCCTCCAGTGAATATGATTAATAAGATGGCGGGTAACCATCAAGGGGTGAATCAGTTTCGGCCTTTGGGCGAAGGGCTAAGACTGCCTCATAAAATATATATCTTATTTTACAAACAGCGGACTTTAATATTAACGATGTAGAATTTTCGCTTTCTACTACCAGAGAATTAGACCATTAATCAATATACAGTGACCAATAGATGTCTTCCTCAATTTCTCCAGGCGAAAGATGGGACAGTATCCCGAGAAAAACGAGGACCGCCGAA